CGGCTGGCGCCTGGCTCCGCTGCCCCGGTACGGTTCTGCTCTGCGGGGAGCGGGACCAGGAGGGGCCATCTCCGATGGGGCCCTCCCGCCGCGATTTCTCCTTTCAGTCACCGTTTTTTTTAACTTCCCCCAGACAACTTTTGTAGGAATTTGTGCTGAGAGGAGGTCCCTTACGGCGAGCTAAAGCTTTTACTCACTCCCTGCTCAACCACAAGCACTTGGCGAGCACTTTGTCAGCAGCAGAAAACAACTGAAGTGTAGCTGTCARTGCCCCACAGAAAAAGGTTTTCGCTTAACGGTAGTCACTCTGCATATGTTCTCTCTGGTCACCTCCTAAGTAGTACTCTTCGGCGACACGTTTCACCATTGTAGCCTGCTGCTAATGTTCTAAATCTTTCTGAGTGTAGAATATGTTACATAACATATATGTTATATAATTTTAATTACCGCGAGGTAAATATAGCAGGCAGCAAAATCGGTTATCTGTAAGATGGGCTGTACTGATAACAGCAACCACTGCACTATCCTGAGGCTTGGGCATAGCAACACAGCTCAATGCTCTTCTGTAGGATACTTTTCCATTCYTTTTGTAATGAGAGCTGTAGGAAGAACAGAATGCCTCCCCAAGAGCCTCATCCAAAAGTTTCATGAATTACAACAAAAATATTTTAATTTTTTATGGGCTCAAGTTAGGTTCCAGGTGAAGGAACACATCAGTGAGAAAAGGGAATTGCTTTGTCCATCCTAGTGCAGCAAACAATGTTGTTTTCTCCTTATTGCTGGCTCCAAATGAGCATCGCTCTCTGAATGGGGAAGTTTACTGGAGGCAGTAGAAAGGATTCAGTGGTTTAGGGAAGAGTGGGAATTTGTTGTAAGAAACCAACCAAGAACAACAACAAACTAGAGCAGGAAAGAAGGTTTGCTGACTTTTCTCCAGGGCTATGGAGTTGCTGAGCAATAGCATTTATCATGAATTAATTGTTGGCTGTGGATGCAAGCTGAGCACATACAGGTTGATTTAAAGGAGCCATTCCAGTGAAAACTCCCTCCGTGGTCAAGTGCCCTGTCGGGGATCACCCTAGGAGTTTGTACAGTTTGAATGGTGGTGGTAAATTAATTCAGCATCTCTAAATTTAAGAATAAATAAGCCAAAAGGAGACATGCAAGCTTAATGATTATATTCACACAGGCATGATACATTAAATAGTAATACGGAATACATTTTCTCACATCCCTGAATGCACAACAGCTGTCTGCTGTATCAAATATTTTTCCTTTAAGGAGTGGGTGGAAAGCAATTCATGAAGGCTGTGAAAACCGTGCATGAGTGTGATTATTTTCAGGGAGTTGTGCTCAAGTGATTTGGGTTTTATATTCCTCTTAATTTTTTTATGTTCTGTATGTAATTCTTCATTTTCATGGTCACGTTGAAGCATGTGGAAGAATGCTGCCACCGCCATCTGGCAAGTAGCAATTCCCTGATTGCTCTGGTTGGTCGCTGACCGTATTGATGTTGGTGGCTCAGCTGTCAGGGCAGTTACCATAAAGATTTACAGTTGTATTGTGTGTTCTGTCAGCGTCTGGGGTTCACTGATGACTTTGTGTGCAGACGCTTACCTGCTATTACTTGCACTACTYCATGACAGACCGAAGGCTTCTCTAAGGGAAGGGTATTTATCTATAACAGTGATAAATTCATTTATTTTGGTAGAAAATTGATCAGTGAAAATATTTGTGGGAAAGCATCTTCAGGAATTCAGTCCTGATTGCAGGAGTGCTAACTCATGCAAACACTAGCAAAATTGTTAGTGCTTATGATTGCTCCTTTATTTTAATTCTATCMATCTGAATCATTGCTTTCTACATAGTGAATTTTATTTCTAAAGAAGTGAAAGAAAAGAGGGTGTAACAGTTGCAGAAYGTGATAACATTTTAGTGTGCTACGTAATGTAGAAGAACAGTACAGTTGTGTCACAGAACAGTTGGAAGTTTTTAATTTTTGATAATGTGTGATTTACATAGTATGCTTGCTGAATTTGCACATGTGCAAGGAAAGAACCATATCTAGGAGTTGCAGCAGGAATGAGACTGAAACTATTTTCTTTGCTGCAAATGGGGAACCATTGTACCTGTTTGAACCAGGTTTCAGACACTGATTTCTTCAGATCTTTTAAAATGATTATAATATATACTGCTTTGGGTTTGGATTTTTTTTCTAGTATTGTCAGCATTGGGTTTTGTTTCATCTTCTGTGTATGACTATGACAGGATAAGGAGATGAAATACATTTTTTAAAAACTCTCATCTTTGCAGTGAACAGGAATAATTTATAGGGAGAGGTAGAGCTGAAAGATTTCTTAGTAACACCTTGATCGTGGTGGTGAAAGACAATATTGCTTAGACAAATAACATCATGCCTCAGTGTTTTGAGTATATGTGTTAGTTCTGACCAGTGTTACATGATTAGGGGTTAAAAACTGAATTTATTAAAAACTCCAAATCTCACTTGTGGAAGAATATGTTTAGTACCCAGGAAACATTAGGTTAATTATCTTTTGAATTTTWCTGTAACAGAGGATGTAATAGTTACTGATCTTTCACAACAGTTTTAGTCGARTTACCTGCAGGAGTATGTTCTGAAATTATCTGAATTGGCCAACTCACTACAATTTTGTGTCCCCAAGCAGTCTTCTTTAGGTTGGACTTACAAGGTATTTTGGGTAAAAGAATACCTTCCCTGAGGCCTGGTGTACTTGCTAAATTGTCTGACATAATTTCTGGAAAGCCCATTTTTTTTTTTAAATTTTTTTTTATGTAAGTGTCTTGAAGTTTTTCTGAGCAGACCACCCACCCATGGAGATGTAATGCAGAAGAATGGCTGATACAAGGTCACTTTTGACAATCAGCATTTTTACTCAGCACCTGTACGAGAAGGTGACATGTCATTGTGGAGCAAATAGTACRTTTTATGGTATTTTGTGTAATTTTAAACCCCGCGCCATGGGTTTAGGGGATATATCACATTCCACTCAAAGTGTCTAGCTGCAAATAAAAGCCTAATGCATGTGAACCTTAAAATCTCATGTCAGAGGGCAAATACAATGCATTTGTATAAACAAAGAATCTATAATTATCTGCATCTTAACAAAATTAAGTTATAATTTTAATACAATTACAAATCAGTATAAATAATTATTAGCATTATTGCTTCCACCTGCTTTACATTTAGCCWGTTTTCTAATCAATGCTTATCAGCTTTGCAGCTGTACTAGCTGGTACTGAGTGCCACTACTGGTTAAAAAGTAGCGCTTCCAGGGAAAAAATATCTTCTCAGTAGGTATGTAGGGATCTTCCTTGTAACAAAAATATGTTAAAAAATGTTGCTCATTAAATGTATAATGATGTCTGACAATGGGTACTTTTCTCAAAAGTGTAGTATTATTTATAGATCAAAGAGAAAAGGTACATACTTGTATCCCTCAGGGGCAATGAGAATGGAAGTCATTGTGTTGGTATTTTAATACAAATTGCTTCCTGCATTTCTAAGTGGCAAATATATGAATATTCATAGAATCACGAGGCCAAATGATCATCCAGCACACGGCATGTAGGGGAGAAAAATGGAGGAGAATCTCCAGTTTGTCTTTGCTTGGGGGTGGTGAGTTTGTTACCGTATTCCCCTTCCTCTGGAAAATGTCACAGTCAGGGCCTGGGTTGGGAAGAGCTGATTTGGAAGGGAAGAGTGTGTAGCTGGAGAGCCCTCGGTACAGCCTGCTGCTTTCAGAGCTGGGGGATTGCCAAGCAGCAGCCTTGTGAGGGATGCACGCTCCTCCAYACAGTGTGCCCTTCCTCATGGCGCTTGCCGGCTCGCTTTTTYCCCAGTTCGCTTACCGGCAGGCTTTTAGGTTTTTAAGTATCTTTTTTCACTGTCCTTGCGTTTTGTAAATACCTTTGCTCCAAGTGAATATTATGCCAGTAGCTGCATGGATTATTACTTCATAATTCTCACTTTCGGAGGGAATGGTAGGTGGCCCCCGATAGCTGGGGTCAGAAAAGCGCAGGCCCAGTCCCAGGTGGTGGCAAGTAGGTGCCAGCTGGGGGCTCTGCAGGCTCGAGAGACGGGTGTGCGACGGAGCACCGGCATCGCACCGGCATCGCACCGGCATCGCACCGGCATCGCACCGGCATCGCACCGGCATCGCACCGGCATCGCACCGCTCGGTGTCGGTGTGAGGCGTGAGCCTGCCTGAGGCCGGTACGCTGGTGTGTTGGGTGGCTTTACGGACACGAAATAAACTTCTCAGCCGGACAGGCTGGCTGTGCGGTTTTGTGAGAAAGAGACGAAGCACAAAAGTGTGATTTGTCTGTAGCAGTGGCAGGACCCAAATGAGGGCGCAGGTTCCTCGCACGCTGCTTCCCATTCCTGCACGGAAGCCGTTGGGCTGGTTCACCTTTAGCATCACCTGTTTCAGAGAGCCACAGAGTTTATTTGAATGTGAGTTCTTGTAGTAACAGCCATGTTCTCGTGTTATGACACGTTATGGTTTTAAGGTATTTAAGAGGAGGCTGCTAATGAATGCTTAAACATTTATGTAATTTATATGGCATTTTATTTTGAGGAGCAAGACTGTGTACTGATATATAAAAAGTATTCAGGCATATTTTAGGGTATGTGGATTCAGGYTGAGTGCGATCCTGTATTATGGGGCACGTGCGTTGCCGGCAGTGCTGCATGTCGAGGTTTGCTGTCGGCTTGGCTGAGTTGGGGAGCGGTGGGGAGGGGTCTGTTTCCGTGYGGTTCGTGTTCCCCCGAGCGGCCCGAGGGGATCCGCTTCTCTTCAGCTGCTGGGGCGTCCCAGCGCTGCTCTCGGGGCTGAGCCGGGTGCCTGGGCGGTTCCAGGGGTGTCGGTGGATCCCCGCCCGCCCGGTCAGGAGCGGCGCGGCGCCGCAAGGGTTAAGGCGGTGGCGCGGCGCGGAGGGATACGGATCCGGAGCCGTGAACGTGGTGCTGAGGCTCTGTAAGCAAAAAAATGTCCGCCTGAGGGAACCCACAAGTTCCTTCCAGCGGGGGGGGAGCGCTCGGCTCGTCGCCTCCCACCCAGCCCGCGGCCCGCCCGCCACCGCCGGCCCGGCCCTGGTCACCGGAGCGTACGGGGGCAGCGGGTGAGTGCGGGCGGCCGCGAGAAGTTGGGAGAGAGCGGCGGGGGAGGGAAGCGGCGGCCGGGCGCTCGCACGGGCAGAGGCGGCGGCGAAGGGACGGGGCCGCGGGCGAGCGGGCGGGAGCAGGGCTGCCTGGGGTGGCGGCGGGGAGGCCGCGAGGGAGGCGGAGGCTCCGCCGTGGAACCCGAGGGGCTGTAGCCGGGGCCGGCCGCGCCGGTGGCGGGGCGAGCGTGCGGCGGTCTCCGGGCCGCAAACCGCGGGCAGGAACGAGTCCCCGCGGGCGRCGGTCGGCGGCTGCCCGCGCTCATAAAGGAGCGGGCGGCTCCGAAACTTGGCGGGGCGCGGGGCCGCGGCGCCCACCGGCACAAGGGAAGGCGCGGGCCCCTCCCGTCCCCGCCGCCGCACGCGCATTCCAGCCCCCCCCCCC